TTTAGCTTTACCCCTTTTTTATTGCATTTTAGGTGTTGGGGTACATGTGAAGAACATGTAAGATGGTTGCATAGGTACACACGTGGCAGTGTGATTTGCCGCCTTCCTCCCCTTCACCTATATCTGGCATTTCCCCCCATGCTATCTCTCCCCAACTCCCCACCCCCTGCTGTCCCTCCCCTATTTCCCCCCAACAGACCCCAGCGTGTGATGCTCCCCTCCCTGTGTCCATGTGTTCTCATTGTTCAACACCACCTATGAGTGAGAACATGCGGTGTTTGATTTTCTGTTCTTGTGTCAGCTGAGAATGATGGTTTCCAGGTTCATCCATGTCCCTACAAAGGACATGAACTCGTCGCTTTTTATGGCTGCATAGTATTCCATGGTGTCAAATTACCCTTTTAAAGCAACCCAACCCACCTACACATCCACCAGCTGGATAAGAACATTTTTTTAAAAAATCTCATTTTTTAAAATTTCCAATTTATTTATTTTATTGCATTTTAGGTTTTGGGGTACATGTGAAGAACAAGCAAGATTGTTGCATAGGTACACACGTGGCAGTGTGATTTGCTGCCTTCCTCCCCATCACCTACATCTGGCATCTCTCCCCTTGCTATCTCTCCCCAACTCCCCACCCCCCACCGTCCCTCCCCATTTCCCCCCAACTGACCCCAGTGTGTAGTGCTCCCCTCCCTGTATCCATGTGTTCTCATTGTTCAACACCCGCCTATGAGTGAGAACATGTGGTGTTTAAAAAAAAAAATCTCATTTTTAAAAATGAGGCTGGAGTGCAGTGGCATGATCTTGGCTCACTGCAACCTCTGCCTCCTGGGTTCAAGCAATTCTCCTGCCTCAGCCTCCCGAGTAGGTGGGATTATAGGCACCTACCCCACGGCAGGCTAATTTTTGTATTTTTAGCATAGACTGGGTTTCACCATCTTGGCTAGGCTGGTCTCGAACTCCTGACCTCAAGTGATCCTCAAATTACCCTTCTAAAGCAACCAATACACCTACACACCCACCAGCTGGGTAAGAACATTTATTCTTCACACCTTTGCCCAAACTGGATAGATTCAACCTTCCTAATAGTTGCTACCTAGGAAAGGCAGTGTTCTAGGTCCAAACTAGTTTTTTTTTTTTTTGAGATGGAGTCTTGCTCTGCTGCCCAGGCTAGAGTGCAGCAGGGACCCAGCTTCCTCATTCCTTCCCAACCTGGGTTTTAAAACTAAGGAGAGGCTGCAGGAGGCGGCCCAGACTGCAGAGTCCAAGCGCTCGATCAAGGGTACCCTCCAGGTATGTGGGGGAGGGAGGGCAGCTCCCAGGAAGCCATGTGGGCCAGGCAGGCTGTGGGGCTGGGCCACCAGCAGCTCTCCCTGCCTGACACCTCCTGGACTTGTCCTGTCTTTTTCCTCATTCCCTGCTTCCCACAGCACTGACGTTGGTCTGTCCGGATGCAGGGAGAAGGGGGGAAGAGGGGTGAGGTGGGGCGGTACAAAGGTGAGGCTGTGCTCAACTCTCAGGCTCAGCGGAACAGATAACCAGCACTTTCATTTTGTGCACACCTTGGGCCATGTCCCTGCCGCTGTCCCAGCCCTGGAGCCTGCTCTGCCCCAGCCCCCTGCCCGCTGGGCCCATGCAGCTGCTGTGGTTCCTTGGCCTCCTCTGGATGCTCAAGGCCTCCCCAGGGGCCACAGGTGAGGGGGAGAGGTGGGAGGGGGCTGGAGAGAAGCCCCTGATGTGATGTTCCAGGGGAGGGGAGAGGCAGGTGGCTCTGAGGTGTGGGGAGGGGGGATAAGAAGGGGTGCTTGGAGGTCTGTGTGCAGGGAGAACCGAGGCATGGCCTGGGGGCCAGGGGGATGAGGAGGGGTTTCTCAGAGCGCCAGGTGCAGGGAATGGCCAGGTTGGGAAGGAGCGAGGGAGCTGGGTCCCCGCTGTCACTCTCCGCCACGCGCCAGGCAGGTTGCAGGGGCTGTGCCCCGACCTGTATCGCAGTTGCAGGGTGGAAGGTGGGAGTTACGTCTTCCCAGAGCCGTGCCCTTCCTGCCTGGACTCCTTCTTGTCACCTGCCTCATGCCCCTAGCCCCAGCACCCCCTCCACACTGGCCTCCCCTCCTTGACAGACTTCTGTGTCAGGGGACAGCTGTTGGCACCAGAGCTGGGGCGGGCAGCTTCTAAAGTCCACTTCACTTCCAAGGGTGCGTCCGAGATGACCCGGCGTGGGGTCCTAGGCTTCTCTCTTCCGCCCTGCAGGGACACCCCCCACTCCTCTGTGCTTCCCTTCTCTCTTCCTCCAGTGTCTCTTCTGATCCCTGATCCCAGGCCGTCCACCCTAGAGGCCCATGAGTCCCCTTCTCAGTCCCCTCCAGGACCAAGTCCAGAGCCAAGGACTGTAGCCTGGGGGTTCTCATAACCCCCGACCCCACTTCCCTGACACCCGTGAGCTAGGCTGGGACGTGACACCCCAACTCTCAGCCACAAAATGCGCTGTGCCCGAGGTGAGGGGCAGGAGGTTGGGTACTTCCCACTTCCCATCTGCTGTGGCTGCCTGTCTTGCTTGCCCCCGACATCCCCGACAGCCAGATCTCTGATCCGAAGTCTCGCCATTGTGAAATAGGCTGAAATCCACAGGCTGGGGTTCATGCTTGTAAACTAATGAATCCCATGGCCAAAACAGAATCGTTGTAGAAAAATGTATCTTTTCTCTTGGACACAGAATCTTGCTCTGTCACCCAGGCTGGAGTGCAGTGGCATAATCTCAGCGCACGGCAACCTCCGCCTTTTGGGTTCAAGGGAGTCTCCTGCCTCAACCTCCTGAGTAGCTGGGATTACAGGCGCCTGTCACCACACCCAGCTATTTTTGTACTTTTAGTAGAGACGGGATTTCACCATCTTAGTCAGGCTGGTCTCCAACTCCTGATCTCATGATCCGCCCGCCTCTGTCTCCGAAAGTGCTGGGATTACAGGCGTGAGCCACCGCGCCTGGCCCAAGAATATGTCTATTTCTGAGATGAACACTCACCGCTAAGCCTTAAGGTCTCTCTTAGGTGAACTCACTCTTCACCACCAAGGTGGCTCTTTCTGGAAGTTTCCTTCTCCATCCTGTCTCTTTGCCTCTCCGTGTGGTCCTCACTCCATGCCCTTTGATGTCATTAGCATGTGAGCTTAGCCTCTTTTTCTCCTTGGTGTTCTCTGTGCAGTTTTGTTTTGTTTCTGAGATGGAGTCTTGCTCTGTGGCACGTGGTGGAGTGCAGTGGTGCAATCATGGCTCCCTGCAGCCTCTGCCTCCGGGTTCAAGTAATTCTCCTGCTTCAGGAGGTGCACGCCACCACATCTGGCTTGTTAGTATTATTATTATTTTAGTAGAGATGGGGTTTCACCATGTTGGCCAGACTGATCTTGAACTCCTGACCTCAAGTGATCACCTGTCTCAGCCTCAGAAAGCGCTGGGATGACAGGCGTGAGCCACCTTGGTGGTCTTTGTGCAGCTTTCTGTCTCCTGGTTTCTGTGATGCGCCTGCTCCCAGGAAATAGTTGTGTTCTTTCTTTTTCTCTTTGAAAGCGAGAGTCAGCCCAGAGAGCAGCAGGGTGTGGGGAGAAGCAAAGGTGGGAGCAGAAGGCTAATGGGAGGACAGGAGGACTCCAGGCAGCAGCAGGGGGAGGAGAGAAAGGGGCAGAGGGAGGAGGGGCTCAGGTGTGTCCAGTAAAGGGAAGGGAGAGAAGGGAGGCTCTGCCAAGCTCTGCTATCCCAGGACAGGAGGATTGGCCATGACAAGGCCAAGGCCAGGTGAGGGATGAGGGTTCTCACACCCCACTTCTCCCCTGGGAGCTGACAGGCAGGGAGCTCCAGCACCCCACAGTGCCCAGCTCCAAGCTGCCTCCCATGCAGGAGTGAGCTGTGGCACGTCCTGCCCTCTGTGATGCTGGCTGGAAAATGGGTGAGTGGGAGCTTACTTGGTGTGATGTGACAGCATGACCCACCGGTTCACCAGTGGATTCCTCTGCTCTGCCGCCAATGCAGGACCTTTATCCACGACCACATCCATCTCTCACGTGCCTTTCCCCACCGCGGAAGCAGCCCATGCCACGCTCAGCAATTCTCCACACTCCAGAGGCGCGGCTGGGCGGCCACTCGGTGTTCCCCAGATCGCCTCTCCCGCTCCAGGCCACAGGGAAAATGCACCTATGACTCGCGCTACCTCCCCCCATGACACACCTGAAACATTGCTCAGTTCTCCAGTCACTTCCAACACCTCAACCACCCCGGCCTCCAAGTTTGCCTTCAAGGTTGAAACCAGTCCACCCACTGTCTTGGTCTATGCGGCCACCACTGAGTGCGCGTATCCAACGAGCTTTATAATCACCGTCTCCCACCCCACCTCCATCTGTGTGACCACGACGCAGGTGGCCTTCACCAGCTCTTACACCCCCACTTCCGAGACACAGACGCCCGTGGCCACGGTCACCAGCACTTACCCTATTACTACTACTGAGGAAGGAAAGTCAGCAGTGACCTCTTCTCCCTCTATCACCACGGCAAGGGAAACTCCCACAGTGACGGTGTCACCCTCCTCCTCTGTCTCAGCCACACACACAGCCTTCCACACTACGATCTCCTCTACAACTAGAACCACAGAAAGGACAACCCTGTCCACTGGAAGCGTCCATACGACCCTGTCCCCAACTCCCATGTTTACGCCCCTCACAACAGCAGTGACTTCTACCACCCCCATCACTTCCTCAACCACTTCCACAAAGACAGTGACTTCCGTGACAACTATGGCCTCTCAGCCCACAGCCACTAATATGTTATCAACACTCAGCAGTAGCATTTTATCTTCCACACCTGTCCCGAGCACAGAAGCGATCACCAGTCATAACACAAACACCACTCCTCCATCTACCTTGGTGACCACACTCCCCACTACCATCACCAGGTCTATGCCTACATCTGAGATCACCCACCCTACTTTTCCCACTAGCACTGTCCCAGACTCGACGACCAAAATCACCTTTTCCACAAGTACAACAGGTATATTGTCCACCACCATTACTCTCCCACCCACCTCTTCCTATCTCCGGACCACAGAAACAACCACGACTCCTACAACAAACTTGTTCACCACCATCACTGAGATCACATCCCACAGTACTTCTAGCTTCACTTCTTCAATCACCAGCACTGAGACCACTTCACCCAGTACTCCCAATTTCACCTCCTCAGTCCCTACCACCGAGACCACCTCACACAGTACTCCCAGCTTCAC